GTGAATGGAAAAGAGGGTGAATGGAAAAGAGGGTGAATGGAAAAGAGGGTGAATGGAAAAGAGGATGAATGGAAAAGAGGGTGAATGGAAAAGAGAGTGAATGGAAAAGAGGGTGAATGGAAAAGAGGGTGAATGGAAAAGAGTAGCCTACGTCACATCCGGAATGTTCTGCCTTTGCATCGAAGCGAGACGAACGATGAAAGAGACCTTTTTTAACACTCTATCATTGCAAGCTCACCGTTCGTCTCGCTTCGATGCAAAGGCACGGCTACCTTTCAAGATGGYGCAGGGAACTGTGAAGGGGWYTATTACTGGCAAGTGTCATCCTCTATAAACAATCGAACAAAGTCGATTTCATTAAAAAGAAGAAAGATGAAAAAGAGGGAAGGATGTATAAATGAATGTGATGGAAGTAGGTCGGGAAATGTTTACTTAGTAAGTTGGAACTTCAGTTATCATGGGCAAGGTTGTACGAAGGGTGGGTAGCGCTATTCAATGGATAAATCTTTATCCAGTAAATAAATAGATGATGTTATCCAATAACTCACTGGTTAATACGTCACGCTCTTTAAATAAAGTTGGTTAATTGATTGATTGTTTGATTGATTGATTGATTAATTGATTGATTGATCGAAATTTATCTACTGGATAAGAATTTATCCGTCGGATAGCGCTATCCAAGGGGTGGTCCAAGGGCATAAGTCAAAGGGTATTTAATTATGTTGTTTAACGGTAACTATTTTTCCTTTAATTTTTTGGTTTATTTATTTGTTTTCTTTGTTAGATTGAACAAACTGTTAATGGCTTCACGCAAGAAAGAGACAGAATAGTGAAGCAGTTGAATGATGCACACGTAAGTCACTGTTGCTGATGCATAAGCTTTAGACAAACCGTGATCGGACACTAAAAAACCGATTATAACCTCTTCCTTCAAGGGATTTTGGGTAGGAGTTTGAAAACACCCAGTTCCCAAATCCATTCTAGTCTTGTTTGTAAGTAGACTGTATGAGTAAGTCGGTGTTTTCGCTCTTTTGCCGGTCGAATCTGGATATCGGTCACACACCTCTAGTAAGCGACCATAGTCTCACAAACGAGCAAAACCTACGATTATGTTATCACTCTAGTTTTTAAGGTTTTAAGAAAGGTGAACGAGGTAGTTTGATAAAATGATACAACCAATAAAGCTAGCTTATACAGCCAAAATAGCTTGAACAGTAGAATCCGGAAGTCCGTCTGAATAGCTGTCCACATTTGCAAATGGTCGGGGTCACGTGGGTGTAATAAAAATATGTGCATTCGCAACGATAGACTGCGAGTGCTTCCCTGTTTTTCTCTTGTTCACTTGCCGTCCTCAGTTACATTCCATCCTCGGAAAGTTATGGTTAATTAGGATTAGTTAGGATGGACAACGATTTGAATTGCCTTGGAAGTAGGGAAGGTCTCTCAGCTCCCACCTCATACTTAGGCGCAATCCCCGCTTGTTCAACTGAATATGGAACGAAGATAATGGAAACTCGCTGATCTATATAACTTTAACAACATGTTCTAGATTGAAGGGAGGAAAATATTTGTTTGATTTATGTTTCTTTTTCTAGGACCAAATTGAAAATCTTCAGCAAAAGAAAAATGCACTTGAACGGGAGAGTCAAAAACAACTCGACAAAATCCTTGAACTCCAAAGTCATCAGGTATTGACAACAGTTATTCTCCCTTTAGAACTGTTAGGTTGAAGTTTTGTCTGGTTAGTACTCATTTGTTGATCATCCCTCCCTCCCCTCCCCCAACACACATCCCCTTTCTATCAATCYCCCTCCATTTTTCGTTATTTGTTTATCTTTTCTTTCTATTTATTGCTATACGTTTTCGTTGTTATACGTTTTTGTTCCTATAACACTATTTGACGAGAAAACAATGATGACCACGGTAYCCATGAAACGGACTTTTTAGGCACACAGAGCCACGATCAACATTGCTTTTTTTAAACAGCTTTATTGGGAAACTAATATTACAATGTGTTGAATAGAAAAAAACTAATAGTTACCCAGAAAGGAAGGTCACGAACGGGACACGAGACCCATGMGAGGTGACCACCTCATGAAATGTTGAAATAATTAAACGTAAAAATATATGCAAAAATATAACATTGTACGTAAAAATATAAAATAAGAATGGAAAAATAAGTTCATTAAGATAAAACTAGTGTACTTTATGAGGTTAACCTCTATGACAGGGRYATTCTCGAAAAGCAGACCAGGTACAAGACCTGTCAATATCAAAAACAGAATCAAGTAAAGAAAAGTAACGTACTGAAATGTGGTTTTTGGACTTGAACGAAGTCACACACACAGCACACACTCTCTAACTCCTAATGAAGTCAATCTTGGAATGGGAAACAAACAAATAAAATAAGAAAAGTGCACCTATCGGATAAAGTCAAAGTGGGCTTTGAACAGACTTTGAACTAAAGATAGRGTTTAATTAAAGATAGTAAAATATAGATCGTAAATCTAAAAATAACTTATGATCTTACTTACATGCTCTAACCTACCAAAGATAGTAAGAGCAGATCAAGTCAAAGGGGATTTTGAATAGCTAAAGAGAATTGAGAGCTAAAACACTGACGCCCGATTACATCATCATTAGCATTTGTCATGGTTCACAGAGTTGTTTCAAACAATTTTACAACGCTACTTTTAACGCTGAGGCCGTTTTCTGCTAATTGAATAAGTTCCTTTAGCACTTTCTCTCCTTCTAAAGACACGCATTTCGGATGAAACACGCTTAAGCTGAACTCATTTCCAATCGCTTCTGTAGCGCTTACTAATTGTTGTTTTAAATGCAACTTAAACAACTTCTGGTTGTCTGTGTATATGGTACAASACCATWTCACTGAGCTCTCTCGATGCGAAAKACGGCCRTGGCTGAAGGACTTCGGCTCTCTAGAATTAAGTTCATCAAGCTTGAAATCTGCAAACATTTKATCATCRTCTTYAAATATCARATCAATATTCGATTGTTTTGCTTCATAAGGAAGCCAGTCAATCATTAGAATATTTCGACCAAAAAACAGGCGAGATATGTTTGGGTTTAGAATTGCTTGTGCAGCGTGTTCTTTAGAATAACAGACTAATGAAAGGTCTGTTGAACCTCCAAGATGGCAGGCCTCGGTGATTTGTACCTGGTGTAAATCGCATTCAGCAATAACTTTGTCACGTAGTCGTTTGGAGATGGCAATTCTTGCGAGCGATACAGCTGTGTAAAATTTCAAAACGAGTTTAGGATGAATATGACGTATAAAGTCATCTACRGCCAACACCATTTGATAGCCATATCCTTTACCACGATACTTGGGGTGAACACGAAGAGCTTGTGTGAAGCACTTTGTTTTATCAGGCATAATATTCACCACTTGTAATGCAATCATTTTGCCTTCCACTTCGCCTACAAGAACATGCTTTWCAGGAGCTTTTAACCAATCGTGAAAAGTTAACTGAAGATAGTCTTCACCTTCGTAAATACCTCGAGAAATGTCAAGAACTTGTTCAAAGTCGTCTTCATTCGCAAGACGGAGGATCAGTTGATTGCTCATCGTTTAAACAATTTAAGACAAATGGATATCTAATGCAGAGATTAGAGTCTAGTCATAGTTAATGGGGTTTACTATGGTCTAGTAGAAGATATTAGTGATATGATTTGCATACGTAGTCAAGCCTTGTTTCAGCTTATTCTCGTACCCAGACCCTTCTCACTTTTCGTTAGCGAAGCTGAGAAGACTTTGGGTACGAGAATGCCTTTAGCTTGAAAACCTGGCATGAGTTAAACTTTCACTAGGATAACCGTAGAGCTTGATATATTTTTGTTATGGGTTTTCCTATAGGCAGCTCAAACCTTTTAGCTTTCTGGATGACTAACTTTATCTACGCATCAGGGCCCAGTTGTTCAAAGCCCGATTAGTGCTAATCCTGGGTTAATTCTTAATAAGACCTATAGAGTTAATCCTGGATTAGCTTTGAACAACCCGGCCCAGCACACTTGTCACGCCATAATGGAGCGTTCATAATCTTTCGAGTGAGGGAGCTATGGGAGTTTTAGGTTTTGAAAAAAAAAAAATTGGTGGCCCACGTACTCAAACCTAACATATTTTCAGCGATCCCCACCCCCCCCCTCCCCCCAAAAAAATCCACCTGTGGACAAAAAACATTTTAGTCCCCCTCCCCAAAGTCTTACAGTGAGAAACAATTTAGAGTGCAGATAAAGTCAATATGGATCTTCAACAAATATCTAAAGAACGATAAAAGTTACTTTCAAGAAAATAATAAATCATTCTCTTTCTATTTATTTTATTAAGCCTTCAAAAACAGCACGTAACATAGATGTTATTCTTGATTCCACAATGTTCATGGTCCCTCATGTTAATTCCATCTGTAAATCTGCCTTTTATCATCGTCGAAACATTGCCAAAGTAAGAAAATTCCTGTCTCTTCGAACAACTGAAACACTTGTCCATGCTTTCGTCACTTCTGAACTTGATCACTTCAACTATCTACTTTTTGGCCTTCCCAGTCACCTTATTTCTGCTGCTCGCGTGATCACCTGCTCTCGTAAACACTGCCACATCACTCCAATCCTGATTCAATTATATTGGCTTCCAGTCACTCATCGCATACTTCGAGATCCTTCTAATGACCTTCAAATCTCTCTATGACTTGGCTCCTTCTTATATATCTGACTTAATCACCCTCTAAAGCCTAATAGAAATCTTCGATCGTCTTCAACATTACTGCTCAATCGTGAAAACTATCGTCTTAAATTTTATGGTCATCGTGCGTTCTCTGTGTGTGCCCCTGAACTGTGGAATTCTCTTCGCTTGCTATACGTACTGAATCATCTCTTTCGTTATTCAAGTCTAAATTGAAAACTTATTTATTTAAATCTGCATTTAACTTGTAACCATGTATCTTTTTTCTCTTTACAATCTCTTCATTTTTGCGCTTAGAGCATTTTATTTTATTTTTTGAACAAGCGCATTATAAATGTATATCATTATTATTTTCGTTTATTTAAACTTTCAGTATGCATAATACTTTACAAGAATAAAGCGGAACGATGATGATGATGATGATAATGATGATGAATCAATAACATTCATTCAAATGTGGTATTTTTGCTAGCCTCCCCCTAAATGTCACGGGATAAATATATGACCCCCATCAAAATCTCCATACCACCCTC